TGTGTACAATAGTACTTTGTGCACCAAGGGCCGAAAATGGGTCTTTCCGGGCGAGGTTGATGTTTGAGCACGAGTGGCAGTCGAGGGCGCTACAGGCGCCCGAGATGAACACGAGCTGCTCAGAACATCATCCGAGCCTGGAAAGGTCCATTCGGCCCGTGTTGCACACAATATTTTTCATAAAAAGGGCATAAAAAAGACCATTTTCGGCCTCGTGTTATGAAAAATCAATTTTTTTGTAAAATGGAGGTTTGAAGTACACACCTCTAATCGAAATCGGAACGCGCACAATCACGGGGTTATTGATTTAGTTGAAACTTTGCACACGCACACACACACATTTGTATATAATCGATATGGAGATCGTATTTGTAATATTCGTTGATATAAATTCATCGAAAAATCTTGAATATGCAACCATACAATTATATGTATATACGCGGTCTAAAAAACCTAGTAGTGGGCAATATTTGAGGATCGTATTCTACGATCTAAGATAAGACAAAATTACGTTTCGGGCTTCAGTAATTAGTTATTAACAAATAAAAATTGGGCGTTTGTACGCCTGAGTCAGACAATTCGACTTGCATCGTCGTATGACTGACAACTGATTGCCGTCGATCGATATACATCGATACAACGTGGTGAAAACGTACAACGTAGGCCGAGAATTCAGATTTGTACTTCATATGTTTTTTTAATAAATTATTCATAATTTATACGCAAATATACACGATTATACTCTGAATTCTATCGAGTATGCAGGCACAAAACGATATAGCTATGAGTGTGCGAACAGTAGGCGAACAATCGGATGCTGTTCTCACGTATCAGCAATTATGTAATACTTTGCATATGCCCGTTGTTTATTCCATACAGTTAGACCTGCGGAGATATTAAGTAAATTGTTTCTTATCGATGAAGTAATTCCCACTATCAACGATGATAGCGACTTAATCAATATAACGACGATAACAAAAAACAACACTTGTATTTTTTATTCCATTATGATATCACGATTAAAACAATGCACCTTCATGAAAAGAACATTACATATTCATTGTTGAAATATTTTTAAACAATTGAAAAATATTGTTCAAATAATAAACTCTGCTCAATAAACAGTAAATGTGAGAAAAAAATATATATGTTAAAAAAGAATGTTTGGTGACAGGATGCAATCTTATGGTAAAAAAGTACGCAGCGATTAGTGGTCTCGAGTCTTCACTGCTTCGCCTCTGCCGCCGTTGGAAACACGTCTTCTGTCTCGGTACTTGAATATGGGACAATTTTATTTATTTCATTTTGTCATTGTTCAAATCATGTCTATCGTTACTGAACATATTAAAGATCACATAATTGATATACTGGATGAAGGAGCCATAAGAACTCGAAGCAGAAGTTACTTTTTCAAGCAAAAAAAGAAGTTTTTGATTTTTTCACAATGACGCGAAGAACCTAAAAATCTGAAGAAATTCATGAACAATTCTTGCGACAATACTAATCTACTATAAAAATATAAATCTAGTCACCGCAAGATTTCTATGTGACAAAATTATTTTTAGCACTTTTTTATTTTTTACGGCTACATTTTGCAAAGGAAAAATCTAAAAAAGTTCTCAGACATGTCCAGCTACCGGCTAGGTCCTTTATGTGTATTATGTATCTTATTATGTTGAATTTTCTGTTACTGTTATTAGTATAGATACCATGAATAATTATATAGTATAGATAATAAACATACATTTACATATTATATATTACATATTACGTATTAGTATAGATAATAATTACATATTAGTATAGATAATAAACGGTATAGTCTATCCTTGTTTTGATAATAAATTGTAGTAGTTCTTACACAACGATTAGAAGCATTTTTTCTTTCAAAAGTATTTCCTTAAAAATTTATTTTTCATCTTTATAAAAATAATGTTTTTTTGTATACAAATTATGATTGATTAAAAAAGACATAAGAAATAGGAGTTTGATCTCACCACCTACGATTTCACCACGTTACTGCTGAGCCAAGGTGCTACTTGCAATATCAATTGATACAACCGACTTTCAGGCACTAGGAACTTTAATTGCTAATAACTCGAAACAGCTTAAGTACCTAATTCCATAATTACATATCTTAAAGAGAAGGATGAAATCTATAAGTGTGCTAAGTTTCAACTAAATCGATGATTCACGGTCGTGCGCTCTTCTCGTCAGTCAAAACTCGCTGTTGTCATTTCTGCTCAGCCATGTCTGTGTTTCTACCCAATAAGAAAATCATGTCTCTATTCTTACTCAAGCCATACTTATATTTCTACTCATATCGTCAAGTATATATTTTATTAATGTCACTAATAAACAACAATAATTATTGTGATTTTATTAACTATTACATATACTTTTATGTATAATATTAATTTTTCACGACGCACGTCGCACGACCAGTTTACACGATGCGATTCAGCTCGTCGACTCGCCCCTCGCTCGAACAGCTCGACGGGCCCAAGCGGCTCGATGCGACCGAGTAGCTCGAGCATTTCGATGCATCAAGTTATCGCCAGCGGTGCCATAACTTTTCCCTCGAGGCTCGCTTCCCCTGTTTTTCGCCCGTATTTCGATCCCCACTACTATTCCCCTCATGCGTGCTCATGCGCGTTCGCGAAGCTCTCCGCAGCGCTATGGTCCCCACCATGTTCGCGTCATCCCCACTTTCCGGCCGAGGGAAAAAATATCTCCACGCTGGGCTGTGGCAACAGATGCATATCGGGGGAACGCCGCCGATTAATCAGACAAGAGCGGCGTGATTATCGAGCAGTGAATAATGAACTGTGGGATTGGGCAGGGTCTTATCACCTAGAATATTTGTTTGGTAAGTACTCATTTCCTACTGCTATGTTTCCTCGTGACAGTTGTTATGAGTAGTATCGTTTCAGGAGACGCCGTGTATATTGAAATGCCGATCGAGGAGCTCGCTGAACGCATTGCGTTCATGGAAGATCAGTATAGGCGTCAATATTGTTAATGTGGGAATGTTATGTGTNCCCTTAGAGCATATACTACATGGAGGAAGCACGTCTAGTGAAGAAGTGTAGACAACGGTGAGAGAGAGAGTAATAGTTTTGGGTACTCCTTCTCTCTGTCTAACAGTAGAGATAGAGGGGGAAGTCTCTGCTCCTTATCCTAAACGGCGCGAAATCATGTGCGTACGCGAGAGAAAAAGGTATTACCCAAACCATCATCTCTCTCTCTCTCTCTCTCTCATCGTTGTCTACACTTTTTCCTTAGGCGTGCTTCCTCCATGTAGTATATGCTCTAAGGAGCTACTTGGTTTTCCGGGTACTCGCACATCTCTAATATACATATGTATGTATACATATAATGGAACGTATACGTTTTCTCCGACCGTGACCTTGAATAATTATCATTGAATTCCTAATGAAAGGGACTATCATCGTAGGTGTTTAAAAAATGGTGATTCCATTTAACCTGGAATGA